GATGGAGGTCTCAAATGCTGCTTTTCCACAGCCAGGTAACTAGGCTTGCATGACAGAAGAACTTGCAAATTATTTTGCATGTCTTAATTTAAAATACAGGACTAATTCAGAGTTTGTCTGGATGCTGTCTAAATTTCCTCTAGTTTTAACATTCATTGGGTTTCCTGAGAGATTTTGGCTGTTAAAACAGCAAGAAATAGCCCTATATGTGTCACCATAGAGTGTAGCTATCTCCTGTTAAGAGTACATTTATTTCCTCCCCTGTTTCTTTCCTCCCTCTCCTTCTTTCTGCTGAGTCAGTAAATAAGCAGCCACTTCCTCATACATAACATAGCTGTTTATGTTGCATCACAGCGAAGAGATCCTGTAGGTTTGGTACAGAACTGTGTGTAATACAAGGTCAGGCAAATAAGGTTTTGAATTGTTACGTTGACAGACCACAGGCTTTTATATCACGCCTATTGGCAAGATCCTCTAAAAATGTTGTTCAGAAATATGCAGATAATATGCACTTCTTTGTTCTTACAATTTTACTGCTAAAAAAATCACAGAATAGCAGGCTCTCCTCATCTTAGTCTGATCTTAGTCTATCTCAATAATTAGAGAATAGGTGTTAATTAGAGATGCAAGTTTCTAGTCTATACAAACTGTCTGCTACCTGCATCATTAGAACCTTTACCTAAACATGACAACATCCTAATTACACATTTGTTCTCGTTCTGTTGTCCTGCCTGTCTTTGTATAATGTTTTCTCTCGGTAAATTAAATTGCCTGTGTAGACCATGCTAGTTCATGCCAGTAATTTGAGAAAAGAATAACGATAGTCTGAAATGACTTCCTAGAAAATTAACAAGTTTTGGACTTGTTTCCAATTATTTTAATATATGAATCAGTTGCCCCCAGTTTTGAAATGCTGGGTTTTGTACTATTAGTATCAGAAAACAGTGTCTCTGCCATGGCCTTATTTTAGATTTTGTTCTGTAGAACATAGTCATTTGGGTTTCTTTCTGGATTCTAGGGCTTTAAAAATATCTATGTGAATCTAAGCCTTAAAGTACAATTAAAGTAGAAACCACATTAGCTGCTGCATTCTAAAAATGAAGATCTAGGATAGGCGTGGTGCGGATGGGAGAAGTCTAGACTGAATTTTGACAAGAGAACATGTGTTAAAACGTAGACTTCCTAGTCAACATTAGCCCTTCTAAATGTATTAGAAATGTGGTAACACATGGTAATGGTAAGCTCATTAAATCTTTATCTAAACCAACAGTGAAGGACATAATGATAATACTGTAGTGTTTAAGTTGTAAATACCTCTTAGCAGCACTTCTCAAGTCATGCTGTTAGTACAGGCTCACAGCCTCCAGGATGATGTTGTGCATCATGCCACGGTGCTCAGCACTGTTCCCTGTGTATCTCCCTCCTTCCTTTTGTTTCTTTCCTCACTCTGCAACCTCCATTTGCTGCTCTGTTCAAGGAATTCTGCCATCAACAGTGTATACCTTGCTCTCTTTCTTCTCTCTGGCTGGAAATACTCTGCCTGTCCCTGCCAAAAAGCACAATGCATCATGCTAAAGCTGTATGTCAAAGGAAAACTTTGAATCCTAGATTGGAGTACTACTGTTGCCTTTTGCAGTGTCCTTCACCATGGGGAAAAGCCCCCATCATCACATTCTTGTCTGCCAGCCTGACTAGATTTGCTTGGGAGGAAGAGTGGAGCTGTAAGAAAGCCTTGAAAATCCACCAGTCCATTTCATAAGTCTTTGCTACTTTAACTTTACCACTTTCGAGGATTTTTTCTTTTTGGATAGTAACTGTTGAGAAAAAATCTGCTGGTATTACTTTTACTGGGGTTTGTGTTTTCTTGTCAGACCCTGGTAAATATCCAGCACTGGCTATCTGAAGAACTTGCAGATATTTTGAGACCTGATTTTCTATTCCATTTCTCGCAGGTCTCTGCATGGGGTGGCTATGTTTTCATCATCAACCTTATTCCACTGCATGTGTTTGTCCTCTTGCTGATGCAGAGATACAGCAGGAGGGTCTACATTGGTAAGTTGTGTTCTTTGAACAATCATTGTCAAATGCTGAATCATGAAATATGAAATTATAATGATGTCTTCTGTATTTGGTGGGAATGAGGTAATTGCATATCAGATTGCATTTTATTAATTGGATTACTGATTGTAGTCAGTCACTGTCTACACCAGAGGGAATAGGAAGTTAAAACATACCATTCACATTTCCAAAATTTCAGATATGTTGCTGGTAATTCATTTTCTGCTTCATAGTGCACTAAAAAAAGGAAATAATTGGATGGTTAGGTATTTTTAGAATCCTTTTAGTATGTTTAATGTATATATATTGTGTGTGTCTGTTATAAAGAATAATGTTTCATCTTTGTCTTTTCCTAGTGCATTAAACAATTAGTAGTTTTAAAAGTTTTGTAGCAGCCATTATGCAAATGTTACAGTGTGTTGTGACATATATAGGAAAAGACATGGGGAATTTTAAGCAGCCATGTATGTTTTACATAACTTGGACTAAAAAGCAGCCTAAGAGTCTGTCTACTCCACGTGAGACCTTAAGATTTTATTGGGTTAATGGGTCAACCTTGCTTCCAATTTCAGGAGTGTTTGGATAGTGATCTCGGGAGAATAAATTTTGAATTGATTTACCTGATATTTAAATACTCTGTCAACAGTTTACAGAGACTACTGGTTAGATCAGCTGGTCATAGTGTGGGTGTGTGAATGAAATAGTTAATAATCAATTCAGGTATTCTTAGATTTATTTATAAGTTAGATAGAACACTTTTGACTCCCTAATGTGAAACATTTACAAAAGATAGTTTGAGAACATCTCAAACATTGAGACATTTGAGAATATATAAATTGAAGTATAATATCAAAAGATATTTCATATTTAAATATATTTTTGTTAACCCACTTCAATACTATTTTTATATTTATTTTCATGCTTTTTTTTAGAGCCTGCTAGGGAAATTACTGTATTTACATTATGTATTTTAACCAATATGCTCCATAATATTTACTGAAGTTCAGTTTTAGTTGTCGTTGTTTTTTTAAACCACAATATAAGTATTTGTTTCTTGCTTCTTAGTTATTTATTTATATAATTCAGAATCTGAAATTATTTTTTACAAGGAAAAAAAAAATGTTTACCCACCTTTAATTTTTAATGTTACTGTTAGTTAACTTCATTAACTCCTTCTTCATAACTTCAGGGAAGAGTAATTTATCTTGTTTTGCTTTTAAAATTATTTAATTGAATATGTTCATTTTCCAATTTCTGTGAGTTAGACAAGAGAAAATGAAATCTAGTAATTACAAAATCCAGAAATGATGTGGTAATCAGAAACAATAAAGCATAAGTGTTCTCGCTTTTCCAGCTTTCAGTCTTTGATCTCATTGGGGGGGGGACAAATAGTACTGCCAGTTCATATGAACTAAAGATTTTGTCACATATTTGTTTTGCAAATAACTACAGTGTTTTGAGGTGTTATTGTCCTTCAGCTGAGGGAGATGCACTTAGGAGAGTTGTTGGAATGAAAATGTGATTGCTGCTTTGCTGTTTCATTGCAATTCCTGGCTTATTCTAAACTGCCCTGGGAAGCCTTACACACAGATGTCTGTAGAAGTTGCATCGGTGTGTGTGTTCTAGGTTTGTTTACCAGGATGTTTTTATAAACCAGGTAGGAATGTGCAGGCACTTCTGGGAAGAAATGGAAATGTGCTTCACTCCCAAACTATTCAGACAGTTTCAGATTCAGATGGGTTTACAAAAGCTCATTGCAGTAGGGAAAGCAAAGATATTTCGCAAAGACAATGCGGAATTGCTAGTGTGCGTGCAAAAAACTACCAATGTGCAGCTAATAGGTTACTTCTGGCAACCTATTGACAGCTGACAGTAGCTACTAAAATCTACATCCACTTTAGGAAAATAACCTTCTTTATTCAGATGCAGGATTCGTTGATACTATCTTCCATTATTGTATGTATAGTCTTGTTTGCGCGCTTTAGACTTGGCAATTTTCATTTCAATCTGAATCTATTGTTTTCCTGTACAATTCTTAAGTTCTGTATACTTTTAAAAATATAATAAAATTAAAAAAAAATCTTCCAGAATTTAAAACTTAATTAATTCATTCATTAATTCTTTGTCCTATGTGATGTATTTTACCATTTAAATAGTGAGCAGGCATATATTTTTTATCAACTACTTCAGAGTTCTAAAATTTCAGATGATTAGCTTTTATTTCTGGTGGTTATAATCCATTAATTGAAAATTTGTGATCAAATCCTTGATCATACTTGGGAGAAGTTTTCAGTAGGTTTTTCTCGTGTTTGTGCAGTATGCAGGAGCTAAAATTGTGAAATGAGTTTATCCACAGAAGGTCAGATTTTTTTTTAGTTCTCGATCTCATCAAAGTTATGATCGTGAGTGGATTGCAGGACTTAGAATAAAGTTCTGGTTTTTACGTTCTGCTGTTTGCATAGTCTTTGCAAAGGAACATGGAAAGATTGTGATGATGTATCTATCACCTTCGTGTACTAACTTCCTTGAAAAATTGTATCAGCCTACCTGTTCATTTGATGCCAGGCAAGCATATGTGATAGCTGCTTGAAAGAAGTGGGAAGAAATAGATTAAAACAAAGCAGACATATGAAGTATGCCAGTTGTAGGACTGGGTTTAAAAATGAGTCTTTACAATGATCTAACAAATGTGAAGCCTGGTGATTTATGCCAATCATTAGAATTCCACAGGATGGCAGTGTTGCAACAGTTTTATGGTACAATAAATGATTTATGTTGAAGTGAATTCTTCAAAAATTGAGTTTCCTGCAGCAAAAATGTGTTTCAGTGACATAAAGAGGCAATAGATGAGTAGGTAGGCCAGGCAGCAAAATACAGATGCTTGAAAGCACACACCAGCAAAGATGGCTGGAAATGGTTGGAAGCATCGCGACAGGGATTTTTTTGTGATTTTTGCAAAGCACATGGTATGCTGGGAGCATAACACACAGGTGCAACAAAAACAATACCACAGGTATATGATCTGGTTCCCAAACCTGTTCTCGTGGAGCTTAGTAAAGGATTGTATGGGTTCAAGGATCTCCTCAAAGGATTGAGGCCATAGCAAAGCCTGTGGTTTATGAATTGAAGGAGTTTTAAAAAAATAAAAATCTGGGAGGTGCATTGTTTGTGATTGTTACTGAGGGAAGAAAGCCTCATTTGGTTTTTAAGTTGGCTGGTTGCTTCAAAATGCAAGCAGATTTGTGGCTGTTCACAGTTGGTGTTTCTTCTATTCCCATCTCTCTCTCCCTGGAATATTTAGGACCAAAATCCTGTCAGGAGAAAATACATGAATATCACTTCATACATAATAATGATTCATGTTATTAATACTGTTGTGTTCTTGGCCTCCACTTTCTGGGGGGTTATGAGTCCCCATGGTTCATCCACATCTATTAATACAGATGCTCAGTATTCATTTTTAATTGTGTTGCTTTTCAATTTCTTGCCATGCCTCTGTTCTTGCATTTAAAAAAGAACAAATATACATTTTGCTGTTTTTTTAAGTAAGTGCGCTTTTAAATGTTTTACCTCTTTGAGGTCTGGTCCCTTTAATTTCTCCTCATACAGAAGCTTCTCTTTTTACTTATCTGGCATCTCTTCTTCCACCCATATTCTGCAAAAACAAGAGAAACAAATGAGAAAAGAGAACTATTTCTAAGCTAGAGTATCTTAGGTAGATGGTTCATTTTCCTACAAGGAAAAAAAAAAGTATAATTAGGAACAGCAGTACTTTGCTACTTCCTTTAAAATTGAATACAATTTTATTTTAACCTTATTCTAATCAAAGAAGGTGAAACAAGGTATTAGGATGGGCAAAATATTTTAAACAATACAGTTTTGTTTCATTGTCATTGATGTCTGAAGGTGGGGAATGGACTCTACTATGTGTTTGCTGTGTTTGAAATGCTATGGAATCTGGTTTTGAAATGTGCGTACTCATTTGTTTTACTTCTCACCTTTCTCTTTTGCCCTCTCCCCCCCTCTTTTTTTCTAGCATATAGCACTTTCTACATTGTGGGGTTAATATTATCGATGCAGATACCTTTTGTGGGGTTTCAGCCCATTAGAACAAGTGAACACATGGCAGCTGCAGGTAAGAAAACTCAGTGTGTGCTTCCAGACAGCATGTTCAACACAAGAAAACCTCAAACCCTTGCAGATCTGTTTCCGTGTGTTAGAAAGAGCCTTGTACTAACAAAACAAATTGTTAAAGAAAAAAAGGTACTGTTCAGTATCTGTAGGGAAGTTTTCTTTCCAATCAACACATTATCCTTCTATATATGAGCTAATGGAGGTAAAATGCCTCCATAACCATGGATCACTTACACATTCTGACAAGCAGTTACTTTACACATTGATAATCTCTACTGTTTTGCAATATAATGTTGCCTTCGAGCATTGTAAAATTGAAACATGGTTATTGGTAAACACGGTTTTTATTGAGCAATTTGTTTTTAGAGTTGATAATTTTGTCAAAGTGGGTTAGATACAAATGACATGCTATATATAGTAGGCTGATTTTAAATAACTGATTTTATTCTTTTTTGATTCTTTTTAAAGTAAGCTTATTCTCAGTAGCTGTTAAACATTCAGACATCTTGATTTCTTTACAACAGCAGTCTTTGCTAAGGCTGCTAGGCTGATGTTTATTTGGAGCATACACTGTTTTTCGTGATGTAACTTAACTTGTTAGACTCCTCTTTTTTAATTACGTATTGTCGCTTAAGAAAATGGATTTGGGACAGCAATATTAATATAACTAAAGTTCACCAGAGAAAAATACTTCAAAAATATTTTTAATACGTTTGAGAGATTCTTTTATCATTCTGAATATAAGGGATGGTGTAAAGGTTATCAAGCCATAGTTTGCATCCTAAGAATTTTACAGTTATTTAGTGGACAGTTTGTGCTGTTCTCTAGAACTTTGAAACTAGTGAATTTCAACATCATGCATCACGATTTTATTCACAAATTGAAGAAATACAATACACTTGAGTTCTTGAGGGTTTTTTTCTTTCTGCCAGCTACCCAGCTAGTGATTTTTCAGTTTAGAGTGGATGAATCATTGGATTGATCTGATTATACACATTGAAATGAATAACAACAGAAAATGGTATTTAAGTTCTAGTTTAATATTAAACTTGGAAATGCCTTTTTGAGCGTATGGAATACTTACCTAGTGAATTCTGCTGTTTTGATGCTAGCTTTGTATAATTCTGTTGTCTGTATTCACAGACAATTCACAATATGTTTGGTTTATTTTTTTTTTTCTTTATTAAATCCCACTGTTTAGTTCAGCAGCTTAATTTCCACATACCTGTATTTCTATATTAGTCTTGGCTTTGTGTTGTTTGGGTTCTGCAACTCATTACTTAAGCTAGCCAAGAGCCGTATCTTATTTTTTCAAGATGTCTACGTATGTTAAACTGTGCTTTTGAGAAAATAAATGCAATCTAGTTTTCAGGTGATTCTCTCCCTTAACTCAGTTTATTTGGGAGCAAAGAGACAGTTGATGTTGGAGCTCTTGATATATAAATATATAATAAGCAAAGAATGTTTTGGAGAGTAGTTATTTTCTTTCAGTGACTCAGACTATCGTCCCTATGAAGTATTAAAGTCTATTTGTCAGAAAGTGATTTTATACTGGCTTTCAGATGTAATGTTATGTGTTAAACGTTTTTGTTTTTTTGTAATTCAAACATAGGTGAAGTATGCCAGTTGCTTTAATGATTGTTGCTTCTTTTGAGGATTTAAACAAAAACTTTTGTCTGTCTTCAGGTGTTTTTGCATTGCTGCAGGCCTATGCATTTCTGCAGTATTTGAGAGACAGATTAACAAAGCAAGAATTTCAGACATTGTTCTTCTTGGGTGTCTCCCTGGCTGCTGGTATTGTATTCCTGAGCGTCATCTACTTGACATACACAGGTAAATAAACATGAAAACAGTTTCTCTTAGGAGCAGGTAACTCAGGTGGCCAACATTTGGTTTAGTCTAAGTAGATGTTGGCAACCGCACAGCAAACCAATGACCATGTTGCTTTGTTTCTGTTTTTCTTTTCACACAAAAGGTCAGATTGGTATGAGGAACATAACAATAGCAAAAGCATATTATGAAGATAAGCACAGCTAATCTATTCTAAATAGCATTGATAGGTAAAGATGAGATAGGTTCAAGTATTTCAGAAAGTAACCACATTTCTGTATGACTGCAATTAATGTATGTCTATGAGTTCTCCTTCTGTGGTTCAGTTTCTGGTCTTCAAAGTAGTTCTACCCAGCCTCACAAAAACAAGTTTGCTTTTGCTTGGTTGCAGTCATCAGATGCCTAACAGCCATATTCTGATTCTATGACATACATCCTTGGTCATCCAGCACTATACTTCCTTCCTGATCTATTTTCATAGATAAATATGTCAGCCATGCCAAAACTGAATTCTGATGGGTGTAAATTGTGTGGTCTTAACATTACACCTCATATACTATTCTGTCATTCTGTTATTAAAAAAAAAAAAATCTGAGATTTAACTTGTTTTTATTTTAACTGAATTATTTCTTGTAATTCAGTTTAGCAGTGGATGTATAGATTCAGTGTAGATTTTTCTGGTATCAGTCGTTTAACGTTTTGGACTATTTAATTGCAGTTTTATTTTTGTTATTTATGGTACCGTTATTCCAAAAGAATATTTAACATCTATATTTGTCTGAAAGCCTTCTAAAACTTGATGGTTTGAAATTTGCTTTTCAGTACGTATGAGCAGGTCCTACTAATATTTCATGAAACTTTTTGGACTGCCATATTAAGACAAAATTTGGCTCCTAATTTCGATACATAGAAAAATATGTCTCCTGTTGCATTTCTTAGGAAGTGTTAATGTCAATTTCTGAAATTCACTGGTAGTATCACTGCTTCACCAGACAGAACAAACCTGGTTCCCTCAGCTTTTCCTGGTGTACTGTGTGATCTAGACCCCTGGCCATCTCACGGCACTCAGCTCCGTCTCTTATTTTCTTAATAATCCCTCCAGCAGCAGGGTGCAGCACCTGGAAGAAAGAGGTTAAAGTTCTGGATGGAAGTTCTGCCTGCCATAAGGCTTGTCAGTTATTCTCAATTTAGCACAATTCACTGTTTTGGCCTCTGTGATTTTTTTGTTTTACTAGCCAGCCACCAATGGGATACTAAGCCACCGAGTGCTATTTTGAGCTTGTCAGTACAGTCAATTTTCAGCACATCAAATTGTTGTTTGCCCAGCCCATTCTTCTTCAGCTTACAGATGAGAAATTAGGAAAATGTCTTAAAAGCATTTAATGATGTAATTCAGGATACTGTGCTTCACAGACTTTCTAGGGACTCAGGTTACTGGCCTGGAGTTCCCCGGATATTCCTTCTTACCTTTCCTAGAGGTGTAGCATTAGGCACTTCCAGGCAACAAGGGCCTTAGCACCCTGATCAAGGTCATGGGTAGTTACCACATCAGCCAATTCTTTCAGCACTCTCAAGAGAATCCCATCTGGTCTTGTGTTTTGGATACATCCAGAGATGACCATAACCAGCTAGTTCACATCTGCTAGCGTAGCCTCCTTACTTGTGCATGCAACTGGTTGGGAGTAAGCTTTGCGTCTGAAGCCTGAAGGGAAAAATACATCGTAGAGCATGAAACACAACATTTAAATGTCTAAACCAGGTATTAAAAAAAAGTCAAATGATACCATTTGTAAATATCAAAGTGAAGACTTACTGCATCATGCACAAAGGCTTAGATAATAAGTACAAGGATTCAACTTTTTCTTGTTTCAGCTTGTCTATATCTGTATGTAGAGAGAGCTGAAACAGTTGCAAGGCAAGTAGAAATTAAAGAAGAATCTTACGGATAATATATATAATATATATATATTGCAATAAAATATCTAAGCAGCAAAATTTTTCCCCTCCTCTTTTTCAGGTTATATTGCTCCTTGGAGTGGCAGATTTTATTCTTTGTGGGACACCGGGTAAGTAGGGATAAAGGATATAAGCATGAGCTATCAATAGAATTCTACTGAAAACTAATGGTTTTTTTTTGCTCTCCTCATTCTCAAATAGATTTAGTATTTAAGTCAAGGAGAATACGTGAGATTATGATCAGTTATGTAAAGAGAGCATGCGTAGTAACCGTTCCGTGATCTTTGCAACCATTTTACCTTCATCACTAATTTGTTTGCTAAATTTCTTGCTTCTTTGGAAGTCTTTGAGTATCTTAATCATATGTTTGTCTATACAAAACAGCAGTGCTTTTCAGCATAGAATAACCAAAAGTTGTATCAACACTTGAGGACACGCTTAAAAATTACTAAGAGCCTTAAACTTCTGCTGTTTTCATTGCACAACATTGCACGAAGTCACGAAGATGTTACACATGATCTTGCATGTTGCCTGTTTATTATTTTCATAAATCTGTTTTGTGTATACAGATGTCTACTCTGAACAATTTTGGTTTATTCAGTGTATGGTTTTGTGAATAACTCTTTTGCCTTAGTTAACATTTAAAAATCCAGCATTCAGTTCGTTAGCCAGACACTTAATGTAGAATATTTATCTGCAAAATACTTCGTTTTATTCAAGTGTTTAAGATGGATTTTAATTGGTAGATTTTTAAAAACAGGGATAGGAGAACTTCAGACCTTTCTAGTTCTTTTTTTCCCTCAGGCTCCTTAGTCCAGCTCATACAGGATTCTTTACCAACCCTGTAATAAATGTAGTAGAATAGGTGTCAGTAAGGAAGCCTCAAATTTATTTGAAGAACACATAGATGTTCCCTGCCTATAGAGGAAATGGCCTGCACTTACATATGGTGTGTATATGTGTGTATGTGTATATAAATATATATATGTATACACACACAAAGATTAAACTTTTGAGGGCTTGTCTACATTAGAAAGTCAGTATTGTGCTTAAAACACATCAGTGCAGTTCTGAATGAGGCCTAGATCTCAGTGAAGAAGGACATTTGTTTGATACCTCACTGTTTGGTCATACAACACCCCAGATGAAGCCTGTGTAAGCTGTCTTTTAATATAGTTTTGTCCTTGTCCGCACTCAGTGTCCAGCATGCTGTTTAGTTGACCTGTAATTCCAAGTGTAGACAAGGCCTGACTGCCAGCACCTGAGAGAACGTGGGGGCATCACTAACTGGCCTGGGATTTAATCCTTCAACTTGATGTGTTAGGCAAATGAAGGTGTTTTGTGCAGAGGAGAGCATCTGAAATACAATATTGAAATCCTAGGAAATTTTCTAGTGTGGATAACTGTCCCTACAAAATATAATGATGGTTTCCATAGCTGTATGTTTTCATTCTGGTGAATAAGACATGGGAATGTTTTTTGATGTAAAAGTTTCATCAGGTTTCTGCTAAATAGAGCATTTAACCTTTTGCATTGAAATGCTTCCTTTGAAATGAATTTCAGAACTCCTAATGTTTACAGGTGTTAATAACTTTCTCTCTTCAAAATAATTTGAACTGAATTTTTTTTAAAAAAGGTATGCGAAAATTCACATCCCGATCATTGCCTCTGTGTCTGAGCATCAGCCTACAACATGGGTTTCCTTCTTTTTTGATCTGCATATTCTCGTGTGTACTTTCCCAGCAGGGCTGTGGTTCTGTATCAAAAACATCAATGATGAAAGAGTCTTTGGTAAGAGAAAATATTTAAAAATCGTTTTGAAAACTCTTGTCTTCGACTTGATTCTATTTTGTTTGTTTGCTCCAAGCTGGTGTATGACATGTTCTAGAAAAGGTTTAAATATGATGTGTTTAAAGGTGAATGTTACAAGTTGCCTGCACCTAGCAGGATTTAAAACCATCCATAAAAAACTCAGTTCATACAGAGATTGGTGAATTGGTGATGGAGCCTTATCAAGAGAGGTGGGATTTGTCACTGTGGCTCTTAGAGGTACATGTTCTTCCATGCACTGATCTCAGAAGCCATGAGTGGGGGTACAGTTTCACAGCACAGCCAGGTGAACAGCTCGGTGCAGCAGAAAAGGGGAGATCCTTCCCCACACAGGCTGCAAAGCACCCAGTTCGTCCCTAGGTATTCTTCTGGCTCTCATCCCACCACAGATGATGATTCAAAATGAATTTTCTTTCCAGATTTTCAGCTAGTTTAGTGAGCTGGATCATTTGGTGTGGAGCAAGTGCTAGATAAGGTGCAAGCCTAAGCACAGGTATGGGGTCTCCTTGTGTCAGTGACAACAAATTTATTTGTATGAAGCTTTCCTTTGACAGCAGACTTCTAAGACTATGAGTGAGGCTTCTAAGGATGTGACTTGGAGTTGTAGCCCAAAAGGAGTGAAGATCACATGGTCTTGCACTTCTATGGCAACAGGAGGCTCTAGTCATATACAGCTGCCTCTTTAGATTACCCCATTGGCAACGGGAACATCGGTGTTAAATCCTCTGACTTTAGAGCATTTTATGCTCTTTTGCTTGCAGTAAAGACCAGTGCTGGGGAACCCCCTTCAGCCTCCTAGTGCTGCACCATCTATTTAAGTCAGCTTAAAGAGACCTATGAGTGAGAACGGAGAGCCATGCTACTTCACTACAAAGTGCAAAATATTTATGCAATGTAACCTGATAAACCAATCCCCTTTGATTTCCATAGCAAATCTTTCACAGAAGCTAGTTTGCAAACTAGCAATAACCACTATTACTTGAACAATAGATATTCCTAATGAATGCATGCAGGTTGTTGTTTGTTTTTTCCTCCTATGAAAAGTGTTGTGAATAATCCTGCTATCCTGAAAATCTTGGGGTTTTGTGGTGGTATTTTTTTTTTAATACTGTCCAGGATAACTTGCTTCAGAATAGGCTTCACAGTATCACCTTATGTCTGTATGTTGTTATAATGTAGACAAGCCCCCAATTTGTTCAGATATCTCTAATTTAAATTAAAATTTGGTACTTATATGAGATTCTAACACTAACTCTTTGTTTTTACAGATTTAATAACTTGTTGGGCCTAGGGCTATTTGGTCTTTCTAACCAAATGAAACTACCTATTATTCCCATACTATTTTTGGTGTGATATTAAATTTCACTAATAATGTATCTTCTGACGCATTATTAATGAATATGAAAGTGTGGTTGTGTTATTATTAATAGTCGTCAAGATGAATTTCAGGTAGGGGTTGAGGCTCAAAAGGCATAAGCATTAATTGAACTGTTATCTCCATAAACTAAAAAGCAATGCAATGCAAGATGCGTGTTCAAGTCTTTACAGACGCAGATGCTCAGCCCACTTCTAAAAACAGTTGTATGGTGAGCAGCATGTATGTGTGCAGTCACAGTGATTTTTACTTTCTAGATGTCATCAGTAGGTGTTTCTTTTCCCCTCTGCAGTTGCTCTGTATGCAATCAGTGCCGTTTACTTTGCCGGCGTGATGGTTCGTCTGATGCTCACTTTGACTCCAGTGGTCTGTATGCTGTCTGCAATTGCCTTCTCTAATGTCTTTGAGCGTTATTTGGGTGATGATATGAAGAGGGAAAATCCGCCAATAGAGGACAGCAGCGATGAGGATGACAAAAGGAACCCTGGCAACCTGTATGATAAGGTGAGGGGATGTTTAAAATTCCACTAAAGGTCTGAATTACTAGCATTGAAATACAGAATAAGCATTGAGGTTCTCCAGTAAGCTCTAAGTGATGTCCTGAAAGAAAATCACTGTCAGCATAGAAGTGGTTGGTTGTAGCTTATCAGTGATGAGCCTGTAACAAAAAGGAAGTCTATAGTGCTGACCCAGCTTGCCAGAGTGATGGCAGACAGCTGATTGCTCTCTTTAACTAGTTCTAGCAGTTCTGCATCACTGAATGTGTGTTTCCCTCTTGTATTTCCTCTAAGGTGAGGTGAAATTAAAGAATAATATATTATATAGGAAAGGTATTTCTGTATCTAAACTCGTGTACTCTCCTGTTCCTGAAGAAAATTGTGTTAGCTATTCTTGTTTTTATTTTAGGCATTGTTACGTGAACTCTGACAATGCACGAGCCCTGGGTTTCTCC